TAATTATTTGGATTAGCAGTGAATATCATCGATTATCCAGCAAGTTATAGCGCACACTCGTTTCATATCTGAAATAATATACTAGAAAATTGTGGTCAATAGTCAAACCGCTAACAAAATGTTTAAACACACCTTTTCAATATATTTCATCATTACGTACGATCCATGGCATCCTATATATCCAAATTTACATAAAAAGACACACCTAACAGCAACCTCCCAGACCGCCCGCCTGGGCCCACCCATCCAGAGCGGTCGAATGGGATGGGAAGTGCTTCGGCCTCTGCCATCCGCGACGGGAGAGAGCCGGCGACGCGGTGGCGGAGGAAGGGGCAGACGCCGGGCGGGCGGCGGACGACAATCCCGCCCTTCTTCTGTTTTCGTTAGGGCGCGGTGAGTTACGCGCCTGAGCACCGCGATGGATGCGGCGCGTCGACAGCACCCCCCTCCCCCGACCCGTCACCGCTTGGGAAACGCACTTTTTTTGGTCACACTTTTTACGAGCAGTTTCGTAGTTTTTTTTGACGGCTCCTCCGAAGCCCGGCGCACGTGTTCGAAGCCTTGGAAACCAATTTCGGAGAAGTTTACACGAAGTATTAATCGCTAACTGCGGCAGTGAAAGGAGTAATGCGTCGTTTAACACGGTGCCGTAATATCCGACAACGCAAGGGGATGTTACATCAGAACGTCCCCGAGCAGTAGGTACTGGAAACGTATATTATATTGCCTCTAGGACAGTCTACCCTCTGGTTCTTACTGTCACCGTTAACTACATCGTACGTCATTTCAGTCGCATAATCCTACCTCACCTGCAGGCAATGAACCTTTCAAAACAATAACTCAAGATGAACGCAGAACACAAAAACGCCTGGCAATGCACCGTTAATCACCGACAAGAAACAAAAACAAGACATCCCAGGCTCTGTGAACTTATGAATTTCAGAGTAACCAGAAGCGATTGCGAACGAGCCGGCAAGACCAGTCCAGTGTGTCCCGCAAGCGTTACTGCAGCAAAGAAACTACTAAACGGCAGACGGAGCGTCGTGACGCGCGTGAGGACATGTTGCCGTACGGCAACGCGTGGCGGTGACAGCGGCCCCCGCGCCGCTAGCCACTGGAACCGCGCGGCGACTTCACGACGAGGCGACGAGGGTACAGTGTTGAATTTGCACCGGGATCCGTTTGCAACACGAAACGGTAGTATACAACAAATAAGAAATAGGATAAACATTTTAGTTTTTACCTTCATTTCCTTGTGACAAGACAGGAAAAATGAAGAACATAATTAATCAATTTATAAAACCTGGAAACCTGCAAGGTCAAATTATTAATTACTCATATAAGCTTAAAATGGCAGGCAATAAAGCCGCAACTTATAAAACCCCTTCAAAATATGAAGTTGCCATGCTATCTGAGCTTTGTGAACTAATAGATGGACTTACGCCAACAATACCAAACTTAGGGTGTGAACTAAACTTTGTAAAACCTGAAAATATATAAAATATTTTTTTTAATTAAAAAAAAATCTTATTTGATTTTAAGATCGCTATGAAGCAATGGAACCAGATATCAGACAAGAGTACGTTGAGAAATTAATATCACGTTTGCGATATCTTCAAGTGGCAAAATAAGATAACATCTTCAAATATTTAACGCTTATAATTGTAGGCACAGAAGCAGCAAAGCAGCTGCGAAACCAAGAGCGCAAAAGGAATTCCTTCGGCAAAGTCGCAACAGAGAATCGAATTCATTAACAAGCGAAATGGCGCGAATGGCATGTGGACGCTCAACGTAGGATGCATCGTCGCTGAGACGACAGCAACAGCAGCAACAGCAACAGCCACAGCAGCAGAAGCACCTGTGCGCGCGCGGGGGCGTCGCGTCGCCGGAAGTCACACTGCGCGTGGGGGCGACGCTGGTGGGGGTTCCCAAACGGCCAAAAGTCTCGCCACGTGGCCAAAAAACTGGCCCTAAATAGCCATCTTTTTGGAGATAGCACGTGAGACAATGTCGCACGATAAAGAACTGATGCGACAAAGATTTATCTGTCTAAAATCATTAACATGAAGATGGAAGGCAATACCGACAAGTTGTGTATACCAAAGGAAATCTATGTTGACAGTTAAAAGATATTGTATATTTTAATTTTTGGTATCATTTACAATACACCTGAATCGTTTTTTTGTTTTATTTTATTTCTTGATTATTAGAATTAGAGTGCTATGTGCGTTGTTGGCGTCGTTTGGGCCCACAGTGCTTCGTTCCAGGAAGTGAGCGAAAGGGCGGGGGGAGGGGGGGCGGAGGGGCCGCGGGTCCACACGTTAGCGATCCCGTCCAGGTGCGCGGGCATTGGCTCAGGAGAGAATGTGCCATGCACGCAAATAGCACATTCTTTCCTGTATTGAATGCAATAATTTATGTTAGTATTATTCATGGACTGTTGAATAATATTCGTGATCTCACTTTTTTTCTTGCTTTTTTTCTGGATTTATGAAATAGACTATTCTTATACAAACACTAAATTCTAATCCGCAAATGTTATAATTAAACTTCATGTGCACCGAGAGAATTAGGTTAAAATGATGAAAACCACGTTATAAGGCCTTTATGACTTGTGAATGAAAGAAATAATATTTTGATTTAAGTCGGAAAGAAGACCAAACAACATTGGAATTTAAGTCGCAAAGAAGCGCAACACTGGAAACATGCACTTCGTTTTATGAAATTATTATTAACTAATAATATATAAAGAAAATTTAACAGTCTTCCTAGAGTTTGAAAGACCACGCTTTCATTTTATACATACGTGTCATTTCTGTCAGTAAAACACACCATTCGACAGGTCATCGAATCTCAAACCAAATAAAAACAAGTGAGCACACAACACATCCATAAATTATATACATATGTTAAACATACTATCCACGATATATTGTCAACAATCGTAATATTCCATGGAATACAGAAACAATTGTGTTCATTACCCGCGCATATCCTACAGGCCAAAATGTCAAGTTTCCTCTCGAAACGATTAATTCAAAACCGCATGGAAAAAAATTGCGTGTCCATGTTCACAAACAGGGAAATGTCAACGAAAAGTCTGTTGCACGTTTACATGAAAAAATTAAATAAATAACGCAAAGTTCGAAAACAAAGGCAAATTGTTTCTGTTTATTTTAAAATTGAATTAAATTTGCAACGAATGAATTTTGTAAGTACCAACTGTCCACTTTTCGAATTGCTTCTCATTAGCCGAAATGACACGAGAAAATAAATTATTAAAACAGAATTTGCGACAAATCATTTTTTAGAAAGGAAAGTGAAAATTTAAAAATATCTTTGGCCTGGCAAACTTAATGACGATCATCTTTCTTGTAAAGAAAGGTGAAACATTCACCACCTAAGTTCTCAATCGAGAGCTCGAAAGCTTGAAGTTATGAAAATGTTATTGAATAACAACAGAGTGAAAACGTTGCACAGCATGTAACTGCTAAATAATTCACTTTCTCTCCTTTATTGTATACGCTACATTTAAATAATACACATAATTTTAGTATTACAATTATCCATTTTTCTGCCAATAGGTTTGGAAGAAAGAAATATTAATTTTTGAAATGAGGACCCTCACATTTTAGTTGTCCAGAAATTTTACTGGCAAAACTGAAATTTGGAAGTGATAGGTGTAACGCGCGGAATTCCAACCCAAACACGAGACGCATCGCCGGCCACGCGAAATCTCAGGCACGCTCTCCCGGCGCGGAACGTGAGTCATGTGGCCAGCGTGCGCATCCCGCATGGCGGTCCCGTTCGCAGACGGACGCGCGTGCGGGGCAGCGGGGGNNNNAAGCGAGCGGGTTTGCGCGAGGCGTGGCGGTGCGGGGCGCGGCGGGAGACAGAGAGCAGGCTCAGCTGGCCGCCGTGGACCGCTCCCGTCGCCCGCCCCTCCCAGAAACCGCGCCGCCTCGCGCAGCCCTTTCACCTGCTCCGAAGCGCCGCCGGCATCCGAGGGGGCCTGTTGCATGCGCACGTCGCAACGTCGCGCGTAAACAAACGCATGCGGTCACGCGGTTTCCTCCACGGCGATCGCGGGCTGCAGATAGCCGCCTTATCGCTGGCTATCTGGCAATCGAAAGACTTGCATACATCCAAGATTGGACTGATAGTGATAATATTCAAATTATAATCGCAAAGTTTATAATGAACTTGAGCAACAATTCCAATATTTATTAGAAGTAAAAACTACTCATTCATTTTTTTTTTTTTTGAAAAAATGTCCTTCGTTTTGTTTGATGCAATTTATTGTCCATAAATATAGACTATACATGTTTAAACGAGAGGATTTTTGTCGAATTATTATATTAATATTTGATATGACAAAAATAACATTTTGAATAAAATTTGCTATTTTTAATACAAATCCCTTCCTCTCGTCCATTCGAAAGCATTACAAGAAACACCTGTTATCTAGCGTTACACATCTGGTCTTCCCGCGTCGGGGATCAACGTGTAATACACCGAAACGGAACAGCTGTGTTTGAAATGACAACAAACCCATTTGGATGCCGGCTTCGCCCTTGACATTGGTGAAACACACAACAACGTGGATGACACAACTAACCTTGTTCCTCTTAATTCGGTGTGATGATTACTGACGCTCCGCTGTCATGTCAGGATTCGTGAATATATTAAAGACAAACTTGTTTCACTCGAAACTCTTCGTGTGCTACGACGTGTTTTCAAAAACCTTCTCAACACGCCGCAACAGAACAGCTTGAATCACACGCTGCGGTTATTAGTGACGCTGATCACAACAAGCACACGCACGCGCATATACACACACTTCTCCAGAACACCCCTCGTGCGGCACACGGCCGTGTCAAGCACTCGCGGAATGACAGGACTGTCGTGCGGGATCAGACGTCACTGCGACGAAGGCAGGTGCTCAGAGGTCGCCGACGGCCCGAAGAGAGGGTCGGTCAAGCAGCAGTTTATTGTTGTACCTCGCCGTCGAGGGGTCTTCGCCCCGGGGTGTATTGATTTTGAGCTGCTGCCACCACGTTACACATACACACACGGTTCGCGAGACGCGAGAGCTCGCAGTACACACCCGTCGCCAACAGCTGCCTGCGGCCAACTGAGGCGGCAAGGCCGGCGGGAGGCGGGCCCGCCGCCCGCGCAGCGCTGCCAACTTAACGCCGCGCTGTCGACTCTTGAGGTTCGCGGCACTCTGTCGACTTTCTCCCTCGCATTACCCACTTCACCTACTCTAAACACATTCTCTGTACACCGAACAGCCGGCGAACAACTTACACTACACCACAAGCATGCGAGGCAGATGCCGCATGCTCTACAGGCAGGACAGTGTAGTTGGTACGGGGCAGGCGGCCGCCATCTTGGGACGGTTCCCGCGCGAAGCACACTGCCGGCGGCAGATTCGAGCGGCGGTTGAGTCACGAAACAGCTGACTGGGAAAAGTCAACCTCCTTCGGAATGCGACTTCATCGTGCAGGAATGTGGATCGAATGAAGTTACTAGACATCAGCGGGAAGCACGAAGCCTAATAAAACTCCGTGGGCAAGGCACGATGCTACCGCACGGACAGCAAAATCCAACAGGTGGACATTGCGGGGATGAAAAGGAGATGGCCTTATGGTTTTAAGAGGTAATATAAATATCGATGAGCCTGAAAATCTTGTAACATTTCATAAGCATGATGGAAAAACGAGATTATCAACTTGTATAATTTGTTAGAGAATTTATAATTTGACTTTCTTCTCTAATGAAGGGAAAGAAAGCTCCGTATATCCTATTTAAATACAGAGAACATGCATATCATGATTGCGAAATAGACTGCGCAAAGCGTCAATTGTAATTTTTCTCCGTACCGTGTTATTATTCTTTCGTGTATTTCAGAGAGACGGTCTTAGTTGTTTGCAAATATATAATATTAAACTTTTGGCATCGCCAAAGTCTAATAGAAGTGAATAAGGAAAATACGTTTATACAAGTATACGGAAAATACGAGATTGCAGAAGCCCACGAAAATAAAAATTGATACATAATCAATGGAGTACCATAAAACCCTGTAAAACACATTTTCTAAACAACGAACAACAGAAATTTTGTCGAGAAAAATAATTCAAAATGTTTTGAACTCACCACCAACTTCTAATATCGCTGGAAAGGTTTCTGAATAGAACTCACCTGAAACAAAAGAACATGTATTAGTTTGTATTAAGTTTATTGTAGGATTAATCGTAATTTATAAAACCCTGTACATGTTATGACACAAGTTAATACACGAAACTATAACTTCCAGTCTAATAAAATATTCTATAACCATTTATGTGTTTTTAATAATGTCCGTTTACTATCTTCTATTTTATTCTCTCCTGTATTCCTAAACCATAATATTCCATCTCCCTTCTCTAAACTCATTATCGTTTTACCCTCTGCTAAAATACATTATCTTACTTCCTCTGGACATTAAATTCCTTTCCTCTAAAATATAAAAATATCTCCAGTCATTTCATCATCTGTAACATATCAAACTTTTCCTCAAGTACCAAAACGAAATATCGAAACTTATTCTAAATATACAATCTTCTCTCTGCCAGCTGCTATGATTATCTGGCTCTTTCTCATTACATTCTCCAATTCTGCTGTATAAATGTTGAAAAGCGGTGGTCTCCCTTATTCCTTTCTTTGCCAATAATTTCTGACTTATTCGCTCATTTCCACCTTTCAGTTCGTCTCCGTACAGAAACTTGCCGAACACCCATTAAAACAAATTATTCAAATGAATTTCACCCTGTATTATTTTTCTATTTCCTTTGGTCTCGTATAGCTATAGGAACATGCCGCACACTCTTGCCAGCGGCCATCTATCGCCGCCCAAAGTACATTTTTTGATATTTTCTTAATTTTTCGGTTTCCTAATAGTAGATTGGAAAAATTATTTTAAAAATATTAAAGAACAGTAAAACACCGTCCTATATGGCAATTATCTTTGAAAAATTGGGAGCTGTTTTTAAGAAAGTGGCCCTTAAGCGCAACTTTTCACAGGTTTTATTCACAGAAAATTTTTGAGTTTTTGGAAAACTTCATTTGAAGGCATTCAAAGCACTTTAACTCGCAAATTCAATAGTGTTTATAAATTGTCGCGAGTTGGGGGGAGAGGGCCGGAATGACATATCGCGATAAATTGCTGGAAATGTGCATTTAACGGCGTGAGAGATCTTAAAAAAAACCGTCATTTGTGTAATTTTTGAAAACCCAAAAATACACCGAAATGAAATTTGCGTCATACAAAAGAGTTCAATTAGCACTGCCCGTTTGAAAATTTGAAGAAAAATTTCGAACCACTTTTGAGAAAATATGGAATTTTGGGCTAATTTTCATAGTAAACTATTGAGTTTTTGAGGAATATTATATGTCATTATTTAAATTATATGTTCTAATAATACAATAATGTGAACTAATTGCCGTTCATGTAAATATTAATGGCGTGACAGACCAGTCAAAAAAAGTTTTGTAAATTTTGAAAAAAAACAAAATAATATAGCAATATGGCGTTTATGTCATTTTATACAGTGCATTTAGCAGTATTTCTCCCAAAAGTTAAAAAAATGGAACCTTTTTTGAAAAAACCAACTTGTTTTTGTATTTTTTAAAAAATTTCACATATATTATTTTTGCACATACATAATATATCGTGCACAAACATAATATTTCGTGCAATATTGCTTGCACGAAAACAACTAATAGTTTGAAAAAAATGTGCATGACATTAATGAAAGTACTCACTATGGAGAAAAAAAATTATTTGAAGGAAAAATCTCTATCTTCTACTTTTTAAATGTACTAAGACGCCACAAAAGAATTAATGTTTTGCAATTTTCGAAAATTCAGAGTTAACCGTAAATATCTGAACTGTACCACCTCTACAAGTGCATTTTATTATATTTTTTACGAGAAATTAAAAGAAAAAAAAGTTTGAGAAAATTTTGAAAATGTCCGGAGGCTTTATGTAAAGAACCCCCAAAATGTGAAGAAAGATTTTCAAAATCGCAGCGCCTCGAGTTCCAAGCAGAACGACAGGGGAATATCAATTTTGAAAAAAAAATCTACGTATGGTTTGGGCGATAGTTCTGTTCACAGACGAACAGACAGTCGTTTTGAATAAAAATACTTTTCGGTATCAGGTGACCCCAAACCATGCATTTCCATTGAAATCTCGAAATCTATTTTCCGCAGCATTACATAGCTTTGCCTATTCTACGTATATTACTCCGTATATACATACGCATGCGGGAAAGTAAAAATATTTAAAACAACAATTTAATAGTACCTGGAGAGAAATGTAAATTACTTTCGATTTGGAAGAGAAAGACAAAGACATATTCATTATGGAAAAAAGAAAGTACTTTAGAAAAGCTCGTTAATTAAGTTGAAACTGAGATCCAGTTACGTCTACTGTTACATTCAAGGAGTCAGAATCTGAGAATCAGACATAAATCATTACGAAAGGGAAACCAGAGCCATCAGTGGCATTGCGCGAAGATTCTATTTCAAATGCAACTGAAGACAGACGCTGTTGGAACGGCAATTAAGGGGAGAGAGTTCAATGGCATTGCACCTACACAGAAGCCGCGCATAGGAAGACTAGAGCACGAGCACTTGTAAGCTGCACCGGGCGAGCTCAGCAATCGGTCGTCGAACCTGGGACACACAAGAGCTGGCACAAGTGCGCGCTGAGGCGTCACCCCTATGGAGGTGATGCCTTGTATGTAGGTGTTATGGCTTGCCTAGCCAACACGTGTAGGCTCTGATGTGTATGCAAAGACATGCAGGGAGTATGGTTGGAATGTAGAATGTTGATGAAGCACAAGCGATCTGTCTTTGTACTGGCTTCAATGTTTCGTTGAATAGCACTTAACCACCGAAGAAATGATTTAATGAACACGTACTTAACCTCTGAATATAAAATCTTATTTTATTCTCCACTTATAAATGAATGGAATTTGGTCTGGTTGGAACAACTATATGATCTTCGCTTTTCGAATATTTACAAGTTTTTGAAATGTTCGTAACAATCAGAATCAAATATATAATACAATCGATTTCATTTGCGCCGGGGTCCAATCGAATGAAAGGTTTGTCCGTTACAACTGATTGTTATAATCTCTGAGGCCACACTTTACTTTAACCCTATATTTTCATACAAATGGAATTGAAAGGAAAAATAAGGTAGGTGTTGGTTCATTGATTATATATATATATATATATATATATATATATATTATATTTATATATAATATATAGATATATAATAAATATATATATAAAATTTTGAAAAAATAAATAAGCGTAGTGTACAATAATTTGAATTCGGTCTTCATAGAACATTCGGAAATAACTATACAAGTAGGTGAATAATTAAACTCTAAAACTAATTAAAATGTAAGTACTTAAATCCAGAGTACCTGGCAATCAATGTTTGCAGTGAAGAGAGAATAAGGGTATTATTGGATTATTAATTATTACAATAATTTGTATATAAATCAGGCATTTTAATTCCTTTCTGTTGTGAAGTGATGGTGAGACTGCTTACGAGAATGAGCGACAGAATAGGGTGGGGTTGGGGGGGGGGTGGGGGTGGGGGCAACTGGGAAAACTTCCCCAGGCTCCGTTTTAATTGGGGCCCCGATGTTCTTTGTTCTTTTTCATTCAAAAGAAATGAAAAAATAGTAAATATCTTTAATCCAAATTTAATGTTATAAGTAATTTACGATGTACGGAGAAATGCATGCTGTTTATGAGTTGCGAAGAACGAATTTTATTGTTTGAAATAGAGGACCTTCCTGGTTTTGTCTGGGCGCACCTGTTTACGAACTCGATATACATTTTGACAAAACATAAACTCTAACAAGAAAAGTCAAGTTGTCTCATTATTCACGATATAACAATGATGATTCAACTTTCAAGAACAATACATAACAATACATAACAATAAATAAGTTAATATAATGTTAACTCAGGGTAGAA